GATGGTTGCCAACCATCAAGATGAGAAGAATTTGCAAAGAATTCAATCAAGTAATCGACCAAGAATTGCAGTGGAAGGAAATAGTAGAGTCAAGATTAGGCTTCTCACCAATTCCTCCAACAAGTTTGGTTACAGTTGAAAGGGAAAATGAATTTTGGAGGGAGTTCTTCATTAACAAGATTGCCAGAGGAAAGTATTCGTGTATTGGTAAACCAAAGAAAGAAGTTTCGCATTGGAAAGGAATAGACCAAGAGAATGAACAGGAGTCATCAGGTTTGTTGATTTATTACTTTGTCGAATCCTTGACAAAGCAGTATTGTAGCAAGTTGTTTCCTCAATTCAAATATTCTATTTCTAATAGGAGTGAGGCGGAAATTAATTCTTCTAGTGACATTGAGGAGCCTGAGCAAATTTATTGGGGAAATGCATTTGAAGATCAAAAACAAGGTTTCTCTGTTCAGAATGCAGATGATTTGATTGCCATTGGTGAATCCAAAGTTGGTGGATCTCCTGATTTACCAAAGGGAATGAAATGGCCAAAGATTGAGGAGAAATTCATGTTTGGAGCTCAGATCAATCTACAACATTTGGCCTATTATGATAGAACCAATTCAATTGTTCCTCAGGAAGGTGGAATGCTCTATTTCTTTTGTCCAGAAGAAGCTTCAGGATGTGGCAATTATTGTAATCCAAACAGTTCGAAACCACAACCTGTTATTTATGTTACTGCAAAGCAAATTAAGGAAATGGGTGGATTGGAAAGAAGAAATGGTGAGGGTTCTTCCTACTGCCATGCTGCTAAACTCTTGTTCCACAATGATGAATTTAACCCTCGATATAGAACACAAATGGTGTTCGGAAAGGAAGATTTCAACTCTGATATTGATATTTATGGTGATGAAGAAGAGGAAGAAGAGGACGAAGAAAAGGAAAAGGATGAAAAGAATCATAATGTTGATTATGAAACACAATTTTTGCTAATGTCCATCTTTTCAGGAGATCAAGAACTAGTGTCTGGTGATGGCTACATGTGGGAATGGGGTATTCCAAAAGGATTGAAAGGACAACATATTTTCACAGGATGTGCAGTTTGTAGTGGAGATCCTTAATACTAATTATATTATTATTAGTATTAATCATTTAGAACAAACGTAAGATAATACAATATTTTTAATTATCATACTAAACATTATTTTCCAATTAGCATTATCATGCATGCACAACTTGAGTAGGGAGCAAGATTTCCATAATAGACACCAACTAGTTCGAATTATTAAGGACGACGAGACATGACTTGCTCTGAGCTTATGAGTACTGTTCTATATATTGTCGGTTGGTATTAAGGTGTACAAATCCAACAAAAAAATATCACCA